TATCTTCTCGTCAAACCCAAGCTTGAATCTTAGCAAAAAATCATCATCTTCATTCCTCATCGAACTCGATTTTCCATTTTCATGAATACGACTGAAATTTGGGAACCTGGCATTTTGGGAAGGATAAGATTATCTTTTTCTTGACTCTGCCCTCAAGGGCCTAGTTGGAATGGGTTCCGAAGGGTAATTGGAATCGAAGATTGAGCTTAGTTTTCTCAATGGGCAAAGAAGGAAGTTGCCATGGATGCTACCAGATTTTTGGGTATCAGGAATTTGAATCGAGTTTTGTGGTTTTGATAGTTTAGAAAGTATAAAAGACGTGATTAAGTTATTAAATTAATTTATAGGGTATTATTCAAAATAGTTATTTTTGAGAGGTAGTTAGCCTAATTTCCTCTAACTTGATACAATACTCTCAGAATGTTTTTTAAACATGTACAAAAGTAGTTTCTTAATCTTAGAAATATATTTTTCAAAAATCATGTTAAACGGGTGCTTATGAGACATTCTTGACTGTCATATTGATAAGATGATTTTTTTTCCCCAACATTATTTTAAACATTACAAATAATTACAATTCACATGTTATATGAGTCCGTACAACTGCACGCAGTGTTGGCGCGGCGCTCCCACCCGCACATGGATGTTTCCCAGTTCTGTGGTACAACACAAATGCAAATGTAATCTACTCCAAATTGGCTATGCAATTTCTGACAAACCAATGTGTGGTTGCGCGATTCCATATATTATCATCACCACCATCTCCATGCATTCTTGCCATTTAATAATTACTTATATAAGCTAATTATAAGTAATTTCTTAATCTAATCGACTCTCTTGAACAAGTACTCAAACCAACTAGATTAAAGAGAATTTAGACCGTTCCATAATTATTAGAGTTGTGCTTGGTGCACAGGAAAAAGCTATACAGAAATTTTACAGGGGGCGCATCATTCTATCATCGGGAGTTGACAAAATAATAATAATAATAAATAGAAAAAATAAAAATTGAACTATACAACTGCTTAATCATTATCTCTCAAAAGTTGAGATGTCTAATTAATTAATTGTTAGTTGTATTTTGTCCACAGAAATATATTTAAACAATAGAAGACAAAGGATATCAATACAGAGAATTACAGTGATTCGAAGTCCCATTCCTGATGGGAAGATCAAATCATGACATGTGATGGATGTTGATTTTTTTATTCCTTTTTCTAGTTGGAAAAAATAGGGATTTTGCGCAAATGGTTCCTAACTTTTTCACTTCATATGTTCATGTCCCTAATGTTTAATTTTTGGCAAAGAGAGCCCGAATCTATGTCTTTAGACGCCCAAACAGTCCTTTTAGATAAATTCCATTAGTTGGATTTCTCCTTCATTTTATTATATGGGCAAACTTGGAAGGAGAAATAAAGAAATAAAAAAGATTTCATCTTTCCCCACCCTACTACCGTCGGCCAACGACAATTTCCAGAGTCCATCTCAGGAAATGAAATTTTACATATGACAAGTAGTATGGTGATTTGTCTTGCAACTTACTAAGAAAAAATAAACTAATTGTAAACTCCTTTTGTACATCAACTTTGACATTTCTTGATGTATTAAAATCATGAAAAATTCTAGATAGGGGCTGAGGTACCAGCCGCCTCAGCCCCTATCAAAAGGGTCTGTCATCATACTCTGTCTTTGTAGAAGAGCCCTAAAATCATGTCCCTTGATTTGAATCATATTTGATGTACAAAATAATGTAAATGTAACAGTGTCAAACCCAAGCTTGAATCTTAGCAAAAAATCATCATCTTCATTCCTCATCGAACTCGATTTTCCATTTTCATGAATACGACTGAAATTTGGGAACCTGGCATTTTGGGAAGGATAAGATTATCTTTTTCTTGTCTCTGCCCTCAAGGGCCTATTTGGAATGGGTTCCAAAGGGTAATTGGAATCGAAGATTGAGCTTAATTTTCTCAATGGGCGAAGAAGAAAGTTGCCATGGATGCTACCAGATTTTTGGGTATCAGGAATTTGAATCGGGTTTTGTGGTTTTGATAGTTTAGAAAGTATAAAAGACGTGATTAAGTTATTAAATTAATTTATAGGGTATTATTCAAAATAGTTATTTTTGAGAGGTAGTTAGCCTAATTTCCTCTAACTTGATACAATACTCTCAGAATGTTTTTTAAACATGTACAAAAGTAGTTTCTTAATCTTAGAAATATATTTTTCAAAAATCATGTTAAACGGGTGCTTATGAGACATTCTTGACTGTCATATTGATAAGATGATTTTTTTTCCCCAACATTATTTTAAACATTACAAATAATTACAATTCACATGTTATATGAGTCCGTACAACTGCACGCAGTGTTGGCGCGGCGCTCCCACCCGCACATGGATGTTTCCCAGTTCTGTGGTACAACACAAATGCAAATGTAATCTACTCCAAATTGGCTATGCAATTTCTGACAAACCAATGTGTGGTTGCGCGATTCCATATATTATCATCACCACCATCTCCATGCATTCTTGCCATTTAATAATTACTTATATAAGCTAATTATAAGTAATTTCTTAATCTAATCGACTCTCTTGAACAAGTACTCAAACCAACTAGATTAAAGAGAATTTAGACCGTTCCATAATTATTAGAGTTGTGCTTGGTGCACAGGAAAAAGCTATACAGAAATTTTACAGGGGGCGCATCATTCTATCATCGGGAGTTGACAAAAAAATAAATTACGTATGATTGGATCTTGAATAAACTGTGGTCGTAAATAATAACGAGATACAGATATCATTAATACAGTTAGACCATCACGTGTGGCATTTCTTACTTATGAAGTAAGTAGTTGATCTCACGAGTTAAAGTGTGGTGACACTTAAATGAACACGTGGAAGTTTTGTTATAGAACAAAATATTGGAGACCCGCTAAGAGATTCCACATGGATAACTATTTGAGTGTCAGTGGTTAATCTCTAACGTTCGGTAGTGGAATTGGTCCTATAACTTGAGGTCATCATAGTGCCTTGTATGAGGACAGTCATGCTTTGACGGTGTTGGATGTTGCTCAGCCAATGGCTGTTAATACGACATCGTTCGAGTATGTCAAGAACCATATGAAGGTTGTGAATGACCAATAAAGGATTCGTCACTCTTAGATAGTAAGAGATTGTGATCTGCATTTCGTTCAATTAAGTTAATAACGAAATCATTGGCCAACGTATACATATAAGTCGAAAAGGAGTTTTCGACTCATATTGACTTAATAGTAGAATGAAAGATATGATCGATAATCGAGATTGACACATTTTCATATCTCGTAGTTGATCGGATCATATTGACGAAGTGATTATAATTTCATGGTAAACGAACAGTTTTGATTTTGTCATACCACGTGATATTTCCCGTCACATGTGTTGCCATGATATATTACTAAATGTCAATCTGGGACGGCGAGTGTGAATTTGTGATGAATTAAAAGGGTGTTTAATTTATTAGTTTTGATTAGATCAAAATAATAATTCACGTCGTTAGGTATCGTGGTCGGGAACCTAATGGGTCGCACACAAAAGAGAATTGGAAGATTGCAAATTGCCAATTGATTAATTTAACAATCGTTGGATAAATTAATTAATTGGATTTATTATTTATATTCTCGAATTAATTAATTGAATTAATTAATTCATGGGCCGGGTTTAATTAAATGGATTAATTAAACATTGGACCGGACCAGGCCGAACCCGTTTGGATTTATATAAATATATGGCTAGGGTTTGAGGTCCATAAGGTTTTCATTATTCTTGCTGGCACAAGAGGAAAAATCCTAGTAGTTGCAGTCTATTCTCTGTGTGGATTTCATTGGAGGCTGGACAATTGGACAGCTGTGGGAGGCAGATTCAAGTTGTTGGAAAGGAATAACGCGAAGAAGTTTGTAAAATCAAGAACAATGTATATATATTTTTTTTATCATAGTTCTTATTTAAATACAAAGTTGAATCCTGAATGAGAATTGAAATTGTTTAATTTCATTGTGCATGTTTAAGTAAATTCCCAACAATATATACATAGAGAGAGGGTGAAAGGACGAAATAAAACAGATCGAAGTAATATATATAACACTATATGAAGTATATGATCGCAAACAAAAAACAAGATAGAAGGCCAATAATTAATTGGTAGAGGAACGAAATATTTTATTCAATTGACTAATATAGAGAAAATAAATACAATAACTGTCCCTATACAATTATTCTATAATTTAGTAATACAAAACTTGTGAAAAGAGTATAGTATTTATGGAGTGATTGTCAAATCTTAGAAATACCACAAAAATGGAAATAAGATTAAAAATTACGTGGAATAAGAGAAAAAAAAATATTTTCTTAAAAATCCAACCTAATTTGGGTAAAAAAAATATCCAACAAGTGAGAGAGCGAGAGAGAGTTGTTGTTTGCTGGTTGGCAAAAAAGAGAGTGAATATTGTTGGAGCATGAAAGGGAATTAATACGAGGCCTTTTGAGATCTTTGGTTGGAATAGGGGGTTAAGTGGGGCGAGCCACTTTCCAACTCGACACCTCTGATCAATTAATCTCTCGTGCGAGCTACTCTCCATAATGAATAAAATATGCAATTTTAGTAAAAAAAGAATTCCATTCAACACCTCTAGTTGGCAGGGAAAGATGAAAGCAATTTATCTTTATCTTTATTTTTCTTTTTCCTTCCAAACTTGCCCCTTTAAACAATGAAATTAAATGAAGAATTGACGCAATAAATGGATGGAATGTGTCCAAAAGGACCATTTGGACACCTAAAGGAATAGGTTCATGATGTTTCTGTCAAAATTAAAGTTTAGGGGACCAAAAACGCACGAAGAGCAAAGCTTAAGGACCGTTTGCACCAAAATCCTAAAAAATTTAAGGGAAAAAAATTCATTCCTAGACAATAATTTTAATTATTTTCATTATCTACCCTACAACGCATTCAATGTTTTGTATGTATATTGCACTTAGAACGTGAAAAGGAACCCTACCCAACACGCATCACCCCTCTTACTCTCTTACCTTAGCATAAAGTTACAGCCTTACAGATTGGCGTTGCTGAATTATAGAGTGGTCCTAACTCCACAGTGGGAGGAGCTCATGTCTTGTTAGGAGTATTTGAACTCTCGACTAGACAGTACGGTAAACAAGATTTTAACTTATTTTTTGTTCATAAGGTTGACCTTATTGTAGAAGGGCTTCTTCTATCATTTCCCATGTAAGTGCAGAGGCAGTGAGAATCCCATCATGCTTTTCCACAGCTTTCTTGAACTTCTTTTATTGTTTCAAGAATACCAAAGAAGCTCAAGAATGCTGTGGGAAGACATGGCAAAGTAGGGATTTTGTGATTTTCCAGGTTTGTTTCTCACTCTCTCTGTTTCTCTACTTATTATTAGACTTATAAGTTTTTATTTTTATTTTTATTTATTTATTTTTTTTAAAAGCTTAACTTAGCAAAACTTGCACTTATAAGTATTCTTTAAGCGGGGACAAGATTAATTATAGGCAAAAGTGAGTTTTAATTTAGCATAACTTTGTTTAAATTTCTCTCTTGATATTCATGTGTATTCGAGTATCCCAATTTCCTGGACATTAATTTTAATTAATTAAGGAAATTTCAACTTACTTTTATTATTTTACTTCAAATTAGTATTAAGATGAGATTCAAGAACTGTAGGTTTATGAATTTAAAATTTTGAATATATGAAGTTAGTTAGGAGAGTAATACTTCTTGTGAAGGAGTTTGAAATGAAAGAGTTTGGAAATGCTAGGAAGAACCAAGGAATGTTGATTCAAAGGACAAATAAATTCCGTTTTAACCTTAAAACAAACATCTTACATAAACAAAGTGGTAGAAAAGATTGGTAGGAGGCAATCAAAGATTGTTAAGCATCCGTTAGCCTCGCATTCAAAAAATTAAACTCTTCACAATCTACTAAGCTCTCAGGACTCATTTGGCATGACTTTTGATAAGTCAAAAATTATTTTTGAGACTAAAAAATTATTTTTGAACGTATTTATATAATTTCTAAGAGTGCTTATCTACATAAGTTATAGAGAAAGCCGATCTAAAGTGGTTTTCGCAAGAAGCCCTTTTACCAAGAAATAGAAGCCTGACAAATAGGCCCTTAGTCTAGTTGAAACGCTCCTATTTGGTGGCCATTATTTTCAAGAAACAATGTTTTGAATGGTGATTTTAACAGAATGTGTGGTTAAAAAATACGAAAATGTTTTGAATTTACATGCATAATATTTATTGTGTAAATATGTGGTTAAAAATGAGTACGTAGAAAAAAGAGTTCCAAAATAATGGACATGAGCAATTAAGGAGGAGGTTTGGTTGCAAGGCATTTTGAGTGAGCTTCCTCTAATAATTAAGAAAGTTGTAATTTTCTACGATAATAAAAATGCTTAACCTTGTCTACGAATCCAGTTTTCTACAACAGGTCTAAGCATATTGAGGTAAGTTTTGATTTTGTTAGCGAGAAAGTACTTGAAGGTGATGTACACTTGAAGAAAAAAGTATCAGTAGATTAAAATTTGTTACATATTGATAATGGATAAATTTCTTGCAAGTACGTGAGCTGAGAAACTGTTAATTCTGAGGAAACCAACGTTGCTTGACCAAAGTGAAGGATGTAAATTGGCTTTCAACTCTTTGGAATCCTGACTTTGGCCTAAATGATAATAGTCACGAGGATGAATTGTGACCTCAACCACATGCAACTATGCGATTCACTCTTCTCACGAGCCTTCTAAACTTCTTTGCTTCTCTCTCCAAACAATCTTCATTTTCTAGGGTTTTCTTCTGTGTTATTTCTTCAAGTTTTTTGTTCAACTTCTTAACATATCTGTGAGGGAAAAAGCTTTATCCGGGTGTACAAGGCAAATTGTGTAAGTTTGCAGAGATTCTGGTTTGCTGTTGTCCATATTGTGTTTACGGTTCGTACCGGTTGGAACTGGTGTTCTTTAGTGCATATTTTTTCAACAATGCTCTATATACAGGAACCATGCTACTCATCCAGGGCCACTGGCCACATGGGCCCTGAACAAGGGCACGAACAAGCCCCCATCTGTACGTGTAGCATGGTCCATGACCAATGTGGCCTTGGACGAGCAGAATAATCCATATGTATAGATAGAGTTACCGAATGGCTGACGACAATATTTTATTGGAATTTGGACAAAAATCAAAATTAAAACCGCCAATAAGATACTGTCATCTTAACACTTGTAAACTGCCTTACACAATTTATCTGTACAAATAGCTTTATTCTATTTTTTTAGCCTAGTAAAGCTCTAGGGATGTAATATTTATTGTATTGAACCTTGTTAAACCCTTATGCGTTATATTACTTTTTCACTATTTCTAAAGATGTATGTGAGTGTGTTGTTCGGTGATATTAGCAAGTATATAGGATAATTGACAAGTAATAATGCGGTGAGTGAAAAATTGTTGGGGGTCAAAGTCCCATAAAATGCAGTGGATTGGAAAAATCACAAAAACAAGCACGAAAGAAAAATAAAATTTTAATATTTGATAAACCATTGAAGACCATATGAAAAGAGAGATGCTACAAGTACAGGAAAAATCAACAGAAAAGTTACAGAAAATGTACTTGGCAGGTTTTTATTGGAAGATAAAAAAAAATAAGCAAAAAGGGTCCAAATTTTGTCCAAAAAATCTGTACTTGTGGCTTAGACAACTTGAAAAGAAGATTCACAACTTCTCACTAAACAAAACTAAAATAATCAGTTGATTCCGTTATTTTTTCCTAATTTTTCTCTGACAAAATTTTCTTTATCACCCATGCGCACCACTGGCTCAACCACAATAGACTCAATGCCATTCAAACCAAAATTATAATGAAAGTTTTTGTTCTTTCCTAACTGTATTTGTATATGAAGTCTTTTATTTCAATAAGGGTGTGTTTGATTACATTTATTTTCCATGGAAAATATTGATTTTCCATCCAAATTTTCACTTGGAGTGTTTGATTGCTATTTTTTTCCACGGAAAACATTTTCCAACTTTTGAAAATATGCCTAATTTTCCTTGTTTTTAAGGAAAATATTTTCCTTGGGTAGAGGTGGTTTTTATTTTCCACAAAAGATGGAAAATATTTTCTTTTCTAGGTAATATTTTCCATGTCAATCAAACACACTCTAATATTAAGTCATTTTCTTATATAAAATCCTTTTTCACTCAAAAATTAAGCCCCTTGTAGCTTAAGTATTTGATTAAAATTCAACTCAAAGTCAACAATTAATTTTAATCACATTTTATAGAATCTACAATCTTTATCAACTTCTAATTACATATTCATCAATTTTTATCAAAATCTATAATCTAACTACAACAAACATGAGCTAATTGTTGAAAATTAGGACTTTAATTAAATTGGGGATGCCTAAAAAATTCGTTAAACTCGATCCCAAACAGGATGATGATTACTCGCCTAATCGAATATATGGGAAAAGAACATAGTGGGAGTCGTTGTCTCGAGGTGAGGATCGGGTGGGTACTAGCAACATGATCTCTGTTCTGTTTAAAGTCTATTTTAAATTTAACTTTTTTATTAAACATAAAAAAATGCATCATCATTTCTAAAGAGAATATGAGTTATTTTTAACAAATTGGAAAAAAGTAATGATATATATATATATATATAATAGGGCAGTAAATGGAGCAAGAGACTGTCACACCCTACCCCTGACCCTATCCCAAACTCATCTCGCCTTGCCTTGCTTTAAGCAAGTACGGGAGTAGAGCAAAGTGACAAAAATACCTGACGAGGTGGGTGATTGGAATGACTGTTCCGACCTTGGCTTGCCTTGTTGTCATCCCTAAATTAAACTACTATTTTGACTCTTAATTTTATTCTACTACTAATCTACGTCAATTAACAAGAATAAGGCACAAAACCTTAAAAGTTATATATCATATAATGTACTAATGCTCTACTTGTAATTTATTTTCCTCGCCTTCCGAAACCATCCAACAGGATAGCGATGGTTATGGCTGTCCTAGCCCAATCCCGCCTGTTGCCATCCTATGATAGAATAATTTAGTGTCTGAATAGAAACTATTTTAAAAATATGGTGACCAATTTGAAATTATATAAAGTTTGGCAACCAGCATGATATTTAGAGCAAAGTTGCTCTAGCCCATTGTGCTTTTTTACCCGATTTTTAATAACAAGAAACTACAAGGAATTAGAGGGGAAAATATCTTGAATCTAGTCAGGGTAATGACTAAGAGCATCTTCATAAAATAGTTCTAAATTGTGATTTAAATCTTTAAATTTAGATACCCTCTTCAATAGAGAAATACAAATGAAATGCAAATTGCATTTTCCGGCGTAAACAAGAGATAAAAAGTGAATTTAGATCTTACAATTGGAGCAAAATTTAAATTTAGATCAATTAGGATGTAGACAAGGATGCAAAAGTAATTTTGAAAATATCAATTTACACTCAAATTTATTCCACCAAAGATACTCCGACATTCACACTTTGACACTAGTTCAAGTAGAAGTGTTAGCAAAATGTTGACCCCGGAAATTGGTCCTTCCACGTGGCCAACTGAAAGCTACTCCACGTGTTCCCGCACAATCAGCGAATAGTCGGGCGCACACGGCCGGAACCAGCGGGGGTGGTGGCGGCCGTATACACTCCGACGGTCAAGTCAGGTTTGAGTGATCGGAACAGTACCCAGGGGCTATGCAAATCAACAATAAAGGGAGAGGAGAAAATATATAAACTTGCTATGGGGTGCTATGTAGTAAGAGTTTCATTACCTTTGCCTCTTGCCAAACCTTAGGTATTTATAGGTGGTATGAACCGTTGGATGTGGAACGTGTGTATACATTTGACGGTATAAAGCGTCTGCTCATAGGCGTCAATCAGCCGCGTTTGTAGAGTGGGCGGACAGTTTGTTTCTTTTGAATTGAATTGACATAAAGTTGATAAGTCACATCAACTAGCCTCATGGAGACGTCAAATCAATTTAAGCCTTAGGTGCAGGACAAATCTCAAATTGGTGACGAATCTTCTAATCGGGGTCCACTTGATCTCGACCTCGGAGGTGAGATGCTTCGACAGATCAGTAGTAGGAATCGCTATATCACTTCGGAGACACTTCGGAAGGGTCGTTTCCAGGTCGAAATATGTGGTGCTACGCGGGGTCCACTTGGCCTCGACCTCGGAGGCGAGATGACACTTCGGTATCCGAGGCGTGTAAAATCGGAGCGTAACAGTGGTCCCCCAAGTCCGGGGATGAATATTTATATCATGCGTGGACTTGCTTTCCTGACCGGACTGCAAGCCAGGGGAGTTTTGGGGGTTGATCTGTTGCAGCAATCGAGGTTATGATAACAGGCAGACGTGCCAAAGTTTCGTTATTGTGCATGGCGTACGAGGCCATCAACCAGCATGGAACGTCGCGTAAGGTGCATTGAAGCTTCGTGAATATGGTGCGCTGACCCCACAGACCGACGCGTTGGGAGATGGTTGAAACTTTGTAAAGCATGAGAGGTAACGCGGCGTCCGAGGTGATAACCCAAAAGGGCCTTCGAGTTAGGTGCGTCCAAGCTTTGTAAAGTTGGAGGAGGACTTCATCCGCCACCGGTATGCTAACCCAAAAGGTCGACGCGTTGGAAGATGGCTGAAACTTTGTAAAACATGGGAGGAAACGCAGCGTCCGAGGCGATGACCCAAAAGGACCTTCGTGTCAGGTGCGTCCAAGCTTTATAAAGTTGAAGGAGGAGCTCATCTGCCACCGGTGCGCTGATCCAAAAGGTCGATGCGTTGGGAGATGGCTGAAACTTTGTAAAGCACGGGAGGAAACGCGGCGTCCGAGGCGATGACCTAAAAGGGCCTTCGCGTCAGGTGCGTCCAAACTTTGTAAAGTTGAAGGAGGAGCTCATCTGCCATCGGTGCGCTGACCCAAAAGGTCGACGCGTTGGGAGATGGCTGAAACTTTGTAAAGCATGGGAGGAAACGCAGCGTCCGAGGCGATGACCCAAAAGGACCTTCGCATCAGGTACGTCCAAACTTTGTAAAGTTGGAGGAGGAGCTCAATCCGAGGCGACTCAAACGTCAAATGATTTGACAACTGTTGCGTGTTTTCAAGGTGACAGTTGGGTGCCATGCCCATTCTCCTAAAAGGCTGCTGCGGCTACTAATTATTATTGACGGCTGGTTGTAACCGAGGTGACGCGTTTCAAGCAAGCGTGAAAGTCACAGCGACATCTTGGGTGTAGATCAAATCTGGCGTTTCATTTCAATGGCCTAGATTGAGGATGCGACGAACGGCTTAGATTGATCGCATTTGAATTCAACGGTGGAGATAGGATTTGTTTTTCTATAAAAGGAGGACTCTAGGTTCTCTCAGGCTTTCTACCCTTGCAAAACTAAGATTATACTTTGCTCTCGAATTATTGGCGATTTGCGACGTTTTGCAAGCAATTCCGACGAGAAAACTAGACTCCCTTACACCATTTTTGGCTAGGAAAACCTCCAAACTCGTAAGTTTCAGCACCTATTTAGGCTTTTGAATTTTTTAAAGAATGGCCTCAGAGAGGAGTTCTGGTTCGGGGAGGGGTTTAGAAATAGTGAGGGTGGACGAGCCCATTGTGGCGAGCTCCTTAGAAATAGTCGAGACAATAATGGGGGGGAGAACATATTGAAACGACCAGATAGCCCACCAGATACCTCTGTGCATTGGGGGCGTCGGACTACCCATCAAAATTAAGGGAGGCTGACCTGGGGAGACTTAGGATAGAGTATAGGATCCCTGACAGCGTAGACTTGATCCTCCCCGGGCCGGAAGAGAGAGCTTGCTACCCTAGGCCAGGCTGTGTGGCCATTAGTGAGACAATCCTTAGGGCCGGACTTAGGTTGCTCGTTCACCCATTCTTTAGGTTGGTGCTTAGGTCCTATGGGCTAGCCTCGACGCAGCTCAATCCGAACTCCTGGAGCCAGATGGTGGGCTCCTGGATGTTGTGGAAAGAGGCGTCATTAGGGGTGGAGATGCCCCTTTCCATTTTCCAGACCCTCTATATTCCCAAGGTTACTGTCGGGGAGGGGGGGATAAGACCGGGGGGTGGTATTACCTTACGTCATGGGGTTCCCACACTCCATTTGTAGTCGATCTGTCAAACTCCATCAAAGAATGGAAAAGCTCATGGTGTTGGGCAGCAGGGCGATGGGACACGATGGAGGGGGACCCCCTGGCGCCTCTTACAGTTCTAACAAAGTTTTCAACACTTAGTGAGTATAGTAGTAGTTGCTTCTTTTATTTCTCTTCGGTTCGAAATTATGTCTAACAGTTATGTTTCCTTTGTAAGTTCTCTTCCTCGGTGCGAGCTATCAA